GATCCCCAGAGGAGAATGTAGAAGCGATTGTGGAGTGGCCATCCCCCCAGGGAGTGATTTCTCTTTCTGTCTCTTTGTCTCTTTCTGGCCAGCACGCATGCCCTATAGCATAAACCTCTCAAAAAAACCAAACAAAAACAAAAACAAAAAAACCAGTCGTTTCTATACAAAGGCAACGAATAAATCATAAATGAAATTAAGACTTCCCTAAAATACTCAGGAATAAAATTCAACAAAAGAAGTGCTAAACATGTGTTCTGAAAACCACAATACCTTGTTGAAAGAAATTAAAGATTTTTTTTTTTTTTTTTTTGGAGAGGTTTTCACTATAGGGCGCATGCGCTTGCCAGACAGAGAGAGACATAGAGACAGAAAGCGAGAAATCACCCCCCAGGGGGGATGGTCACACCGCAATCCCTTCTCCTCCATTCTCCTCTCGGGATCTTGGGCACGCACGCGCATGCGTCTGGTGTGAGTTTTAAGCCACCGGGTCCGGGACACGAACCACGGTCGACTACGTGCGAGTCCAGCGACATAGCCATTACGCTAACTGCTGATTCCCAGAAATTAAAGAAGATTTAAACAAGGCCAACTGGTGGTATGATGGGTAAAGAATGCAACTCCCCCATATGGCAGATAGCATGGTTCAAGTCTTGGACTTGGTGGCTTGAGAAAACACACCAGGCACATGTGCATGTGTAGAAAATCCCAAGAGGAGAATGAAAGAGAAGGGATTGTAGCATGGCCATTTCCCCTAGCAGATTTTTTGTTTGTTTGTTTGTTTTAACTTTTCCTCTCTCTCTCTCTCTCTCTCTGGTGAGTGCACCCACCCTTTAGCAAATGAAAAAAAAAAAAACTAAATAAATGAAAAGAGATCCCATGTTCATGGATTGGAAAAGTGATTATTATTAAGGTGGAAATACATGGGACCAGCAGATGGCATAATGGTTATGTCACTGGATTCCCATGTAGTTAACCGTGGTTCAAGTCCCAGACCTAGCGGCTTAAATGTCACACTTAGGTATGTGTGTGTGCATGCTCATCCCAAGAGACTGGAAGAGAAGAGACTGGAGCATGGCCATTCCCCCTGGGGGGTGATTTCTCACTTTCTGTCTCTCTCTGGTGAGTACATGTGCCCTGTAGCAAAAATATCTGGAAAAAAAAAAAGATGTAAATACTCAAGGCCGGCAGGCTGTATAGTGGCTAAGGTACTGAACTTCCACACGGCTGACCGCAGTTCAGTTGCGTGGGTTGCACCATCAGAGACTGGCAGTTCATACTGGCCCTCCCTTCCCCTCCCCGATCCTTACTTTCTCACTTTCCCTCCCTTTCTCTCTCTCTCTCTTTCTCTGGTCAAATTAAAAAATAGTAATAAAATACTAAATTAAATAATTATTTTTAAAAAGATGGAAATACTCCTCAAATTGATTTTTCTTAAAGAGGTTCTTGATATAAGATGTGTGTGCTTACTGGAGACACAGAGATAGAAAGCAAAAAAATCACCCCTGGAGGGATGTCCATGCAATCCCTTCTCCATTCTACTTTTCGGATTTGGGGCACATGCACACATCTCCCCCAGGTCTGGAACTCAAACCATAGCTGGCCATGTGGGAGTCCAGGGCCCTAGTCACCATGCCGCCTGCTGGCCCCAGTGGCACTATTCTTAATAGCTACAATTTGGAAGCAAATGTAATACGCTTGAATGTTATTCGGCAATAAAAAATAAAGAATCAACATATGCTACAACACGTTAGAACTTGAGAAACATTACTAGACTTAGCATAAGAAGCCACATGCTGGGAGGCCATCCTGGATGGAGGAGGCATGAGAGGACTTGGGGAGGTGTCTCCAGACGTGGTGATCTGGGACGCTCCGCTCTCCTGCCCTCAGGGCTGTACAGGGTCCTTGGGAAAAAGCCCCCGGCTTAGGCTTGGCAGGGGCTATAAGGGGTCCCCTGAGTCCCTTTGGCCAGTAACAAGTGGCAGAGTCCAAGCGGACTAGTTTAAGCAGGAGAGTGGCTCATACCAGCTCAGATGGGGAGGGCACGGCAGAGGTGGAGAGTGGCCGGGCACTTCTGCAGCCCGTCACGACCTAGTCTACTCCAGGCAGCCCTACCCTCTCCTGGCTGCTCCAGGCTTCCGCCCTGCAGCTGAACACCCCCATGGGGAGACAGCAGCTCTAACCCCAACCCCGCAGAGCAGGAGCCCACCGCCGCGACTCGGCCGACCTGCTCCCTCCAGCAGCCCGACCATTCTCAGGTCTCAGGGACGCCGCTCACCGGGACAGGAACTACGGTCAAATCCTGGGGTCAGGACAGAGACACATTGAGGAGATCCCGGCCCTTCCTGCTGCCTCAGGCTGGGGCATATGCCACCTGGAACAGGCAGCCCCTAAGGTCGGCTTCTTGGGGGAGACTTGTCCTGAGGATTGTCGTGCGTTTCAGGGCCACCCAATCCCAGAGGTGCATGGCAGCTGGGCTCTGAGGAACCACCACCTCCTCTGGGGCTGCACCTGGTCAGAGGAAAACCTCCCTCCACTCTCTCCTGGGCAGCTCTCAAGGCCCTGACCCCAGCCCAGCCTCGTGTACCCCCCCTGTGCAAGGACCACGCCCCAACATGAGCCTCAGCTCCTCAGAGCCCACACCTAAATTCCCAGCAGAGAACCACGGGCCCAGCCCAGGAGGTGGCTCCCTGGCAGGTGACCACCCTGTCTAGTCAGCTGTGGCCAAGGGGATGGGCTGGCAGTTCAGACTCGTCCCCGTGGGGGTGTCCAGTCAGCAGTCTCAAAGAGGGCAAGAACTGTGCCAGCCTCTCAAAGGGCACCCCCCACACTGCACGAAGTGGCTGTGTGACAATGCCGAGGGCTTTCCCCAGGCAGAACTACGCGACAGTGACGCCCTGTCCATGGCAGGTGTAGAGGAACCCACTCAGGTGCTCCTCTGAGCTCGCACCGCAGCCCAGCTGCGAGTAGGCGCCTGGCAGCCTCTAGCTGTCAGCTTCAGGCCGGGTCCCCCGGTTCTCAGGTGGCCCAACCCTGCTGAGCAAGGCGGTGGGATAGACGCCCAACATGAAGCCCCTAAAGGGCCTCCTGAGCCTCAGAGCTCCCCACTGGACTGCCCAGCCTTCACCAGACCCACATCACCCCCAAAGCCTCCGCTTCCCGGAGCTTCCAGCTAGCTGGCCCCAGGGACTGAGGTTGACAAAGCAAGCAGCAAGATGGCTTTGTTGACTGGGACCACACACCAGTGGCCCCCCAAGAGGCCCCAGCCCTGATTCCAGGCCACACAGAGGCAGGCTAGGCCAGCTGTTAGCACCCTCCTGGGGACGACTTGGGAGAAGGAGCGAACGCACCTGCTCGAAATGCTGGGGAGGGGAGGGGAGGTCAGTGGAGCTGGAGGGCTGTTAGCTAAGGTGACAGATGGAGAGGTGGGTGAGACAGGCTGAGGGCCATGTGGGTGAAGGGGCAGCTGAAAAGCAGGAAGACTCACGTCCCGGGCTGCTCCGGGGCACAGGGATGCAGTGGAGGGGATCGTGGTGTGACCAGACCCCATGGGGGGACATCTCTGCCACTCACGTGCGTGTACACTATCACCAATAAACAATAAAAAGGTCAGAGGAAAACTTCAGGTTCAGACCAATTGACTAGCCAGAGCAGAACTTCAAAGATGGCGGAGTACCCAAGGCCTGGCTGTTGAGCGAAGTTGGGGATCCCCACAGGAGTGGGCTGGCTGTGCCAACAGTCCTGAGGGGCTTGTCAAGCTGGACCCTTCAGGTGCCCCCTCCCCACTGAGCTGTCTGCTCCCTTGGGAGACAGGAACTTCTCTAGGGAGCTGTCCTTGGGCCACCTGGCTTGTGACCAGACTGTCAGAGTGCACCCCAGCTGGGTTACAAGTCTCAGTCACACTGGCAAGACTAGGGAGGGCACCAAGGGGCTGGAATCGAAGGTGCTCAGACCATGGCACCCACATGCCCAGTCACTACTAAGTGAACAGTGCCCGTCCCAACCCTTGGACCCTAGAGCGAGTCCCCAAGGCCTCCAGAGGGGACCACTGAGGTTGGGGGACAAGGACTAGAGAGGTGTGCTGCCCACCAGGTGGCCTGGAGACCAGCCGCAGTGGTGGAAGCGTACCTCTCCCCTCTCTCCTCCGACGTCCCTTCAGAAGGGTGCTGGGCTACCACAGGGAGCTGCCCCACGGCCCGGTGGAGGGCTCTGTGACAAGGGGCAGGCTGTGGGCGACATGGAAATGTGCCCTCAGATCCTCTTCAGAGGTGGGCTCACTGCCCAGCTGTGGAGGTGCCAGCTGACCACCTGAGCTTTAGGGCCTAAAGGTGACGGTGGCCCCAGCAGTGGCTGGCTAGGAAGAGGCACAGGATGCGGCCTCCTGCCCGGGGTAGGCTCCTGCACTGGACGGGCAAGTCTGCATTTCGGCTGCGGCGCCTAGCCCACTTCGCGTCCTGTCCCATCCCGCACAGGCGCTGCTTCCCAGAGAAGCCAGCCTGCGCCCTTTTGCCTGGCCTCGTGTGACGACAGGCAGGTCGGGGAGGGTGTTATTCACGCGGCAGCATTAGGGAGGATCGGCTTCACGCTGGAAACCAGGTACTCCGGCTCTGCAGGGACAGCGACCGTGTTTCATAAGCTCCTCTAGAGCGCTGCCTTGGCGACCACGGGTGCAAACTGTTGGTCCACCACTGGCAGGAACTGCGCCTGCCGCCCTCCTCCCAGGCTCGTGCCAAGGGTCCTGCTACATGAGGCTGGTCTTCCTGTCCGGACACAGAACGCGCGGTCCGGCAGACACTGGGGCCGGGCATTTGGAGTGGGACGCTCCAGACCTTGGGGGCTCAGGGTGCGGTGCTGTCCCACGGGGACAGGGGACGGCCAGTCTGGAGCAGACAGCCACTGCACCACAGCCACGCTTCGCTGGTCCCATGGCCTTCTCTGGCCCCAACAGGTGCTTTTTTTTTTTTTTCCAACTCTTTGCTACAGGGCACATGCAATTGCCAGAGAGAGAGCGAGCGAGCAAAAATGAGAAGTCACTTTGGGGGGTGGCCACACTACAATCCCTTCTCCATTTTCCTCTCGTGATTCTGGGTGTACTCGTGTCCAGGGTGTTTTTCAAGCTGTTGAGTCTGGGACTTGAACCATGTAGTTGAACATGTGGGACCCAGTCACCATAACCAGGATGCCACAGGCTAGTTCCCATAACCGACGTCGGAGTACCACCTGTCACATGGCTGTGGGGCCATGAAGTGGTGAAGCTGCCATGCAAACGGCTTGGCAGAGTCTTGCGGGGTTAAACACACAGTCACCGTATGACCCTGCAACTGTACCCCTGGTTACACCCCTGAAAAGGAAAACATGTGCCCACAAACATTCAGAGCAGAGTAACTTGAATTGCTAGGAAGTGAAGGGACCCATGTGTCCGTCACATGATCTGGCACCCAGCCTGAAGGCGTGAAGGACTGACCCACGCTGTAGCCCGGATGAGCCCTGCACACACACATGAGCACGTGCTGAGAAAGCGGTCACGCAGAGGCCGTGTGCTGATGCCACGTGGCGCAATGTTCAGGACAGGCAAAAGCTGGCTAGCAGTCACCCGGGACTAAGGGGAGGCGCAGAGCGACTGGAGGGCTTCCCTCCTTGGGCTGGTGGAAGTGCTCCAGAATCGGGCAGTGGTGGCTGTGGCACAGCTCTGCGGACTTGCTAGGTACCGCGGAGCAGGACACTTTAATCAGGTGGGCAGCTGCGAGCCACACTCGACACGCAGTCAGGGACCGAGCCCGGG